CCCAGGTCCCGGACAGCAGCAGTAGCTTGGGAGCCAGCCTTCAGTCCACCGAGACTTCGAGGTAGCCTTGCACGCGTACGCAGGCCCGACGTCTCCTCTATCTTATATTCCATTCTGTTATCTCATGTTTTCGAGACAAACAATGTTATATTTCTTTCAAACGATTGTATTTAGTACTCTTAGTAGTCCGTGAATGTTGTGACACCAGTTCTTGGGTAGAGGCACATGTCGGTTTCCGCATTTTGTTCAGCTTATTTAATTTAAGTCTTCCGCTTTAATTTCATATTCCGCTGTTATTTAAATATTTATTTAAATATTTATCGCTTGTTGTTATGAATGATAAAAAAAAAGATTTTAAAATAAAGGAGTTAGGAGTTTATGAATTGTGGCTTGCCTAGATTCTACGAGTAGGTGCCATCACGACCCCCGAGGGTGGGGAATCCGGGTCGTGACAACAAAATTATATAAAAAGATAAATTAATCTTGGATATTTAAAGGAAAACTCGCGGAAGATTTTTTTTTTTTTTAATAAAGTAGCATTTTTCAAGAAGGAATTATATTGTGTTTAAAGTAAGAAAATACATTCCTAAAATTCCTAACCTAAACTGAATAAAAAGGTTTTAAATTTCGAGAATTCGTAATGTAAATAAAAGAGGAAATTACCTTCTTAAGAAAAAATCAATTGTGTTCCATTTCTAAGAACATAACAAATAAAGAAAAGCAAATATTTGCACCTAAATATAAATCAGAGAACGAAAATAGTGACTCTACAGAAAGAGTCCCGTCAAAGTGTTGCCCTCTAGAGCTTGATTTTTTCATCCGAAGTAATTTTAAGTTTTTCTTTCTGTGTATTGCTTTAGAGTTTAGACTATATTATAAAGGTCAATGTACTATTTTGACTTTTCATTCCATTTTGTGATTATAGTAATTTTTGATTCCAGTACTCTCTGCGAAAACAGTTTGATTACGTGAAATGATTAAAAATTACTGCTTCTATGAAGACAAAATTTGGTAATGTACATATACATATGAATAGTACTTTGGAAGTTTAATTAATTAGAGATGGATTTTTCCGTTGCTATATGACGTGTTTATTGTTAAAGTTATTTTGGCCGTGAACAATTCAAGAAGTTCTTCAAGTCCCAAACATTGTAACAAAAATTACTTACATAAAAAATAATAATAAAGTGACAAGGGACTATAATTAGCAGCATCAATGGAAAGAAAGTTTTAGATAACAGGACATAAAAAATATGAAGCTTAGTTATAACACTACATAAACTACCTCTTGGACTCGTACAAATTGGCGGAGAGATCCTTACAGCTTGCACCTTGTAAAATTACAAGAGGATTGTAATTTATATCACTTTATATAGTGGTTTAATGGCATGGGATTTGTGGGTCTTTGCTAATAGGTAGGACACTTGATTGGTATTAGAATCCCATGCAAATTGAATTATACTTGCCTTCAAAGACCATAAATATCAGGAATTCAATTAGCGATTGTTACTATTTTATCCCAGATGCAATGAAGCTTAATTTAATTTCTTAAGGTTAAAAGAGTCGATCAATATTTAAAGGATATTTCTGTCGTTCAACATTTAGCGTGCAACATTCGTGCTTTTATAATAATATAGATAGATAGATAGATATAGAATATAGATAGATAGATATAGATAGATACATAGTTTCTCATTTCTTTTAGAGTGGGTGGGGCCATTCAGGGCCTTTGTAATAATTCTAAATTTTTAAGGTTCTTGTTAAATCCACTTTTAAATAATAAAACCTTACAATAAAAGGGAAAATGACACGGTATGTAACGACCCGATCGTTCGTTCTGAGAGTTATAGCCACATTTCCCCCATCTATGCTTATTTATATGTTGTTCAACTGTGTTGAGTTGTATCGAGTTGGTAGGTTTGGGTTCGGAGTAGTTTTGGAGTGAAATGGACACTTAGTCTCTTAGTTAGAAAGGTAAGTTAGAAAAGTCAACTGGAAGTTGACTTAAGAGTAAAAGAATTCGGATTTGGATTTTTATGATTCAATTAGCTTTGTCGGGTGATTTTAGACTTAGGAGTGTGTCCGGAATATAATTTGGAGGTCTGTGGTAGAACTAGGCTTGAATTGGCGAAAGTTGGAAGTTTATAAGTTCTTAGGCTTGAATTCGAGGTTTATTTGGTGTTTTGGTGTTGTTTTGGTGTTCCGAAGTTTGCCTAAAGTGTCGGGTAGGTGGATATAGTGACTTGTTGGAATTATTTGGTTGAGGTCGCAGGGCCTTGGGTGAGTTTCAGATAGGTTTGGGTTCTGTTGGCGCTCGTTTTTCTTATGTTTCGACGCTGTTTCTTCAAGCATAAATGATATCAATATTGAACATATGAGTTACAATTTCTTTTTTGATTGAAGGCTTTGAATCCGTATCGTAATTATGGACCGTAGCAAAAAGAATCGTCGAATTGGACATCGTATGAGATTTTAGGGACATTTTTACTAAGAAATTAGATACCAGATTTTTCAGATTATTACGAAATTGCCACTGACGCGGTATTTATAAATGTCACTATTTGCAGAATATTAAAACCACATATATCATTCGTTATAATGTCAAATTGAGTGATTCAAAAGCCTAACTTGGCTAAATTCACAAGAAATCCACTGGAAGCACAAAATAACGAGTTTCGGGATCATTTGGCACAAGAAACGAGGCAGAATAGCTGGCAAAAAAATACATAAACTATGGTTTGTTCATTCGGTCATATTTTGAGTTGGGAGTCCAGATTTGGGGTAGATTTTGGAGGCGATATTCACCATATGAATAGGGTAAGATTTTCTCTACTCGTTTTGATTAAATTTCATTGAATCCATCTTCGTTTTTGGATTTGATTGATGATTTCAAGTGAATTGAGGGAGTTAGGGTTTGTGTTTTGGAGAGTTTAGTGAAAGGATTGAGGGACCAAACGAAGTTCGATTTTATACAAATTTTATATGGTTAGACCTCGAGAGAAGGATGAGGATTATTAATTCTCCATTTTTGTCTGTTTCGATACGTGGGCCCGGGGCCGGATTTTGGCGATTTCGAATTTTTTGGCATGTTTATGTAGTTTTTATTGTGGAATTCGATTCTTTAGACTATGTTGATAGTATTATTCTGATTTTGGTTAGACTCGGAGCTTTTGGAGACCGAGTCCAGGACAAGGACATCCCGGAGTAGAATTTTACGCTGTTGAGGTAAGTAACAGTTTTAACTCTGGCTTTGAGGGTATAAACCCAGAAGAATTGATATCATGTGATTTGTTTGGTGGTGATACAACACGCTAGGTAACGGGCGTGTGGGTGTGCACCGCGAGGATGAGACTTGGTCCCATCCCGGAGGCCAAGGCTAAAGCTATTATCTGTGGTTATGTTGTTTATCTGTTTGTTGAACTTGTTTGCCTTCATGTTAGAGATCCTATTAGGTTTTATTCATGCTCACATTATTTGTACTCAGTCATAAAATTATTGTACATGTTTACCTCAGTCTCTATTATTTGCTTAATATGCTGTGATACTTGATGTGGGCCGTGTTTCCCTTATTTGTTGATTGATGGTGAGGCTAGTGAGGTACAGACTGGGTGAGGCCGGTGGCCTAGTTGTGAGGATATTAATACCATAGCGCGGAGATGTCCTCGTAGCACGTGAGTTGACCGTGCGGTCCAGGTATTGATACCATAACACGTGAGTTGTCCGCGTAGCACTGAGTTGACCGTGCGGATCCAGGTATTGATATGGTAGCACGTGAGTGTCCGTGCTTGCGCTGGGCTTTGGGAGCCCCTCCGGAGTCTGTACACACCCCCAGTGAGCGCAGAGTGTTGAGTGTATGACTGTTGAGTGTTGAGTGCTGAGTGCGGTGCTGAGTGGGGGAGTGACATTGTTGTGAGGTTGCATTTACTCTTTTTTGCTGTTGCTGCATTTTAATCTGTTAAAATTTCTGTTGTGCATTTACTGAGTTATGAAATTTACCTGTTTATTCCTGTTATTTTTAAAATTGTGAAAAATAAATAATTGGAATATTTTGCTCAGCTCGTCACTACTGCTCAGTTCCTTAGTTATTTCTGTTACTACTGAGGTGGTTGTACTCATACTACACCCTGCACTTTATGTGCAGATCCAGGTGAGTTAGAGTGCGGCGATCGTGAGTTCAGGCGGCTTTAATTGGAGACAACAAGGTAGTTGCCAGTGTCCGCAGGACCTTGTTACTCCTCTCGTCATTTCTTGTTTTGGACAGTTAGACAGTTTATATATCTTAGTTTATAGTTTTAGACGCTCATGACTTAGTGACACCCCGATGTTTGGGACTCGTTTCCGTATTTTATATTATTTATATTTAGAGTTGGTTTAGTTTATCAGGAATTAAATTATTGAAAATATTTTATTAAATTCTTATAATCAGATTAGTAGTAATTTTGGGAATAGGCTTGCCTTGTAATATGATAGGCGCCATCACGATCAAGGTTAGATTTTGGGTCATGACACGGTATAGCCGCTATAAAAATAAGCCGAAAAATATAGATTTTTTTGTATATTTTGTTGTATATATATATATATACACAAAAAAAAATTATACAAATTTTATAAATTTTTTCGATTACGGAATGTAAATAGTTTTTGGTACGGACTAAAAGTGATAATATCCAAAATAAAAGCATCTTTTTAACAACAATCTTAACACTTTTGTTTAAAAATTAAGGGGTCGTTTGGTATGAGCTATAAGAAGGTAAAATGCTAGTATAAAAATTTAATACTACCACATTAATACTTCGTTTGGTTAGCAAACCAGGTATAAGTTATCCCAGGATTAAAATTAACACCGAGACAACTTATAACTTATAGAGGGTGGGTAATTAGCACCGGTATAACTTATACATTCTTCTTAATCGTCATATTTAATATAACATACCAAACAATGTATAAAAAATAATTCCACCATAACTAATCCCAACATGCCGTATTCAAGCCAAACGATACAAGTATTCAAAAGTCTCAAAATCTAGATCCCCTCAACACAACACTCAACACTCAAAGCTCTTCGCATTCAGCCATTCACCATGTTCAATCCCCTCCAACGTGTCCCACTCCTCTTGTTCTTCCTCGCACTCTCCACTATCTCTGCCGCCGAATCAGACACACCCATTTCCCGTTTCCAAAATTACCTCAGAATCAACACTGCCCACCCTAATCCAAACTACACTTCTCCCATCACTTACCTCATCAACTTCGCCAACTCTATCCCAAACCTCCACTCCAAAGTCCTCCACCTAACCCCCACCATACCCCTCCTATTATTAACCTGGCCCGGTACCTCCACCCCTTCACTCCCCTCCATTCTTTTCAACTCCCATCTCGACTCCGTCCCCGCCGAGCCCGAAAAGTGGACCCACCCACCCTTTTCAGCTCACAAAACTTCCGATGGAAGAATCTTTGCACGTGGGGCCCAGGACGATAAGTGTATTGGCATGCAGTATTTGGAGGCAATCAAAACGATACAGAGCAAAGATCCTGACTTTAAACCTTTAAGAAATGTTCATATTTTATACGTGCCCGAGGAGGAGGTGGGTGGGTTTGATGGGATGGGGAAGTTTGTGGAGACTAAAGAGTTTAAAGAGTTAAATGTTGGGTTTGTGATGGATGAGGGACAGGCTTCAACTAATGATGAGTTTAGGGTGTTTTATGCTGATAGGACACCTTGGCATATGGTGATTAAGGCTGTTGGAACACCTGGACATGGCTCTAGATTGTATGATAATACTGCTATGGAGAATTTGATGAAAAGTATTGAGGTTATTACTAAGTTTAGGGAGTCTAAGTTTGATATAGTCAAGGCTGGATTGGCTGCTAATTCTGAAGTCATTTCTGTGAATCCAGTGTTTCTCAAGGCTGGAATTCCTTCCCCAACTGTGAGTTTTTGAATTTTCGGTTGAGTTTGCTCTTTTGAGTTGTGTAGTTTTTCGAGCTCCAGTTGAAGGGGGTCCATAAGGGGCGGATCTAAGATTTGAATTTTATAGGTTCTGGTTCTAGGACAGCAATCTCAAGTGCTGTGTTCTGAATTAATATTTGTACATATTTAGTGCATTTCTTATTACACAGTTTGGGCCAAAGTTAATGTGTTTTGGCGAGCCCATATCTTAAAGCCTACTGTCATTTGGGAAATGATACTGTAGTAATTCGGAATGCTAAATGTAGTCATCCGAATTATTATTGTTTCTCTTTCCAATTCAATTATATGTGATGCCAATAATAGTTTCTTGGTGATTAGTCTTTCAAGTTCTGTTTAGCTTAAAAGAATTTGAGGTTCTTAAAGTATATTGAAGTATGATCTAGAGAAACCTACCAATCGAGAATAACTTTTAAGTTTAAGTAACGATTTATGAACTCGTTCCTGTTCCGTTAACAGCTTTCTATGTATTAGGCAACATTGGCTTATGGTTTACTGGGCTTATATTTCCTAGTTGTTTATGGTTCTGCTTATATTTTTGTTCTTTAATTAGGATTTATGATTTATGGAGGCCTTCTGATTTGCTTGCACAGGGATTTGTAATGAACATGCAACCCTCTGAAGCTGAGGCAGGATTTGATATTAGGATGCCACCAACGGCTGATCCACAACTTATGAGGAAGATAATTGAAGAGCAATGGGCACCAGCTTGGAGGAACATGACATATGAGGTGAATAGTTGCTTTTTCTTTGTGCTTATCGTTGTTAGTTTGCAGACCTTAGCATATCTTTCGGCTTTAGATTAAAAATGATAGTGCTCTTTATTATCTTCCCAGAACTGTTCGGAAAATTTTGAGGTATATCAATAGTATACTGAAATATTTGAATAGCAGTTTAAATTAAGTTGGTAATATCAGCAAGTAGGTTTCTGTTGTTGCCTTAATTAAAGAGACAAAACTCATTAGTGAACTCCAAAAAAGAGGGAAAATTAGGCAATGAGAGCGAGAGATATCACAAGACTATCTTGTGCAGTGAATCAAAGGAAGTACTTTCATGAATCAACGGACTATAGCTCACGGAATTGAGCTAGTGGTTCTCACTTCTCAAGGATTTAGGTAATTTGATGCTGCTGTGTTCCCAAAAGTGATGGGAATTGTATTTTGGATGCCATTTCTCTTAGAAAAGGAATAGCTTCAATGCCTTGGTTTAGGAGCGTAATAATTACAATGTCCTTTAGAGGATTTTATGAGACTAAAGAAGGCCAATTTCAACATTCTGAATAAAATGGAATATTATAAGTGGAGCAAGCTGGATGTCTACAAAAAGTTGACCAAATCCAAGGAGTACAACTGATTATATGACATATCCATCAGCTTAAAACCTGAAGAATCAAGCTTCCACTTCTCGAAATAATCGAAGGAGTTAATTTGTCAATCAAGTTGTACAAGGTTTATCATGTAATGACTCAGTTAAGTAACTATTTTCCCGTAGAATACTAAACGACGCTACGCTGATTGAACGTGGGACAATAAGGTTAGTGCACATGCAATGAGAACAACCGAATGAGCAGTAAACCACGCTTGCATCATCAAAATCGTGCCTAGATTTTAGAAATAAAAATAAAATGCACGATTAGGAAGTTATGCTCGGCCTTGTACGTATAAGTAGGATCATTCTATGCATGGATGGAAATCATCACAATCATTACATCAATTAATAAACTTATATTCATTTCCTTCAAATTCCTTTAATCTTCTCTCTTTTTTTTTTTACAGCTTTTCTTACCAGCTCTCTTACAATGTCAGTAGATCTTTCCTTTTCTTTTTGGGTTGATAAGGTAGATGTCTTCTTAGATTAATCTTAGCGAAGTTCCTCTTTTATATGATTGACAAATGGCAACGTTCCCTCCTCAATCTTACTCATTTGACTTCGATTTTGGGGATCATTGCTTGGCAAATTCGGCTTCCATTGTTCATCTAGCTCGAGAAATCCATTTATTTTTTAAGCCCTAAATTGCTCGGACTCTGGTGCGGGTATCCAATACGGGTGCAGATCTAGAGGTCGTATCCTTCATGATCTAAAATTTAAGATTCGGGGTACGAATCCAGTTACAGATACAGGTGGGGGAATCCGGCTAAAAATAATTCAAATGTCTAAAAATAGAGTTATAAAAATATGTCCTACTTACGAGACATTATGTGGAAACCTTATAATGTATTCTGAGAAGATAAAAGGAGAATGACTGAGATATAAATTTCTTTATACACCATCTCTTTCAATTTCACTCTAGCTTTTGTTTTGATTTCGGAAATCATTGTATCTGTTGCAAACTTCTCCATCGATTTTGGTCAAAGTACCGAAAATCGATTGACCAGATCCGTTACGGATCCCACATCCCACACCCACACCCATGACGTGTTAACACAGGTGCGGCACCAAAAGTGAAGAGACCGAGCAATTTAAGCCAACACTATTCTTTGGTATGCTCTTTTTTCTATAGTTTTCAAAGCTTACTCTTTTAGGACTTGATTTCACTTGTGCATGAACTATAATGGGGCAAGAATCAGCATAGTGCAACATCCAGGGAATAAGGACTGTAACTCATGGTTCTCCCACTCAAACATATGATAAATTGCAAGGTACAACTACACTGGCATAAGCTCCTCCAACCGACATCAACCTATCATGGTTCCAAATGAAGGACTCTTTAGTTCACCTCCTATGATAATAAACACATCATTCATACAAGAGAAATCGACATGGATATTGTTGAGTCCTACATCAGGTGGGAATTAAAAAATGGGTCTCTTTATATGGTCTTAGGCAATCTCCATCTCATGAGCTAACTTTTAAAGTTGAGTTAGGCTGAAGGTCCATTTTCTTAAAATGGTATCGGAGCCAGGTTTATCCCAATTCATTGTTAACCGGATGTTGGGCCCCCATCTTATGTTTTTCACGTTCCAGATGTCCAGTACTGGGCGCGCGCAAGGTGTGTTGAGTCCAACATTTGTTGGGAATTAAAAAATGAATCTCCTTATATGATCTTGGGTAATCCTCAACTTATAAGCTAGCTTTAAGTCGAAGATCGATATTCTTAACATATATTAACGACATGATTCACTAGTTCCCCCAACCTATTGGTAAAGTAGAAACCGGTAGTGCAAATTGAGGTCCACTTTTCTCGAGCCTAAATGCTTATGGTGGCAAGACAACAAGAAGATCAATGATCAATCTATGACCAACTTTAATTACCAATCGGTTTAGACCTACCAAGGCCTCGGTTCAGGATGACTCCTTAGCAGGGGAACATGAATGTCGGGGAGGGCGATTGATTCCATCAAGTTTCGCGGCTTAGATGGCAAATTAAGCATTGTCAGCTCCTACTGACTATACTTTTTATATGGAAACAGTTACCCAGTGTCACAATCTAATCTTCAGTTCAGTCAAGTCAACTTGGCTAAGAAGCTTACTAATTCAACAGGTAATTTTGCCTTACCTACAACCCCTTTTCTTTCAGATCCATAAGTCGGAGGTTTCCTTCATCAGCAGATCTTTAATAACGTGTCAAACATCATCCGTATTTGGGACTTGCCTATATCAGAAAATCACTTAGGAAAGCAGACACGGGTTGTTCCAAATCAGCCATATTTCTACCCACGCTGGCCTGGCAAGCAAATGCATAACCATGACCAATCCAGCCTTCGGCAACCTTTATGCCAAATCCTGCATCTGAGCAGATGAGCCAGCAATTTTACAACTCTACATTCTAAGTGCACCGGCCAAAATGACGATACATTTTGGAATTAACTTGAAGCCAGTAGACAAATTTCTATACCTGTTCCGGCTGGATTGACGGATGTGCCTCTTCCAAGAGGTTTCAAACTTATTTGTCATTTTTTTTCCTGAGAAGATAACAAATCTACCGAAGATCGCATCGGCATTTATTGCAGAATGCGGGGGGGGGGGGGGGGGGGGGGTTTTGCACGTAAAGAAGGGCATAATATGCTCTTTCCCTTGTTGTGGACAAAAACCATCTTTGCCTAGTACTTTTCGTTGCCTGCCAATTCAGCTCAAAGCTGGGCTGACATGGAGAGAACGTTCCATGACTGGTTATTACAGTATGTTGATGAATCTGTTGTTGATTTCCTGGAGAGATATCAGAAGATGCGCATTAGATGCAACATACAATTCCCGGAATCTCGTGGCTCTTACTTAGCTGGTCACCAAAGCTACAAAGGTGTAGCAGTTCATTCTTGGCGAGAAGCAACAAAGAGCTAGCAGAGGAAAAGGTCCTTATCTCGTGTCCATCATAAATTAAGTGGACTGGCCAAGCCTACTGATTATGAGGAGAAGTAGTCTGCTTTGGTTCATGCTGTCGAAACATATGAGAAAAACCATATTCTTGTTTTGCTCTCAAATTGTCAAAAGCTAAGGAGTTGGTGAAGATTGAGAACAAAGAAAGCTACATGATTGATACTTCTAAAGCTAACTTGATGTTTGACTATTTTCTTAAGGATAAGCAGATCAGACTTCCAGAAGCATACAAACGTCCATCAATTGAAGAATTGGAGAACAGGCAGTATTGCAAGTGACAACTCATATTAGCAACAACTGCGTCGTCTTTCGCGATGCTAGCTGGAAAGCAATCAATGATGATGCATGTTCATTCTATTTAACATATGGTGACTGATGTTGACACTTTCTTGCCAGTATTTGATAATATGGTAGCCATTACCAATACTGCTCCCAATTCTCAGCAAGATGTGCTCGTGTGCCAGCTTCACAGAAGAGACCGATAGGTGATATCTCCGAAGGGGTCGCAAGTGCAGAACACCACCTTAAAAGAATCAGTGGAACCAGGCGGACAGGAACGAACCATGCTTCACGAAGAAACTCTATCATTTAAAAGAACATCACTGCTGACAAGAACTTCCATCCAAACAAGAAAAGCAAAAAGGTTCCTGTCCTCCAAAGTCTCCATCTATGCAAGATTGACTCTAAACTAGAAGAAGTGCTTATTGGATATCAACATCTACAAAGGAATCTCAAGTCTCTGTATCTTTGTCATAAGATTCAAGAGAAGCTGAGGAAGATGATCAAGCCTAAGGCTAATGTTGTCAAAGACCAGCGGGTTGTCAACAAGGGGTAAGAGAAGCTGAACCAACTAATAGCGACTACCTAACTTAGAGAAGATTAGACAACGGCAAAGAGTCAAGCAAGCAATTCAGAAGATTGAATCTGAGAAGAATTAAGTGGAAAAGCAGCAGAAGAGACAAAGTGCAGAGCTGGCAAATGAACAAAAAGGAATCCACTATGTCTGGTCAGAGGGATCACAACTTGAGGCCACTGTCTCAGTAAATCTGTAGAGCATACTCCCAGTGACTTCTTGGCATGGTCCAATATATGAATAAGTTGGAAAATGATGTATGCGCTGGGAACATAATGGGTTGTGTTGGCACAATATGAGATGGAGTGATGGACTAGATACTAAGTAAGCCTTTGGACATAGATTTGGTTGAAACTTGATTTTTTTTTTTTTTTTTGTGAAGTTGTGTTGGAAAATAGTATTTGGAAGTTGAAGTTGTGTTTGGACATGCACTTTACATATAAAAAGGATGAAGTTTTTTGAGTGGAAGAAAAAATTTCGCCCAAAAAATGACCCAAACCAGTTTTGGAAATTTTATAACTTTTTTTGACAAAAACTGATCAAATTCCATGAACAGGCAATGTTTTCAAAATTTTCTTTGAATAAAAGTAAAAAAAATCTATCCCCAAACGGGAGCTAAGTGTGGCAAGTGGTGGTTGTAGACCACTAGTTCAAGTGAAGCTCGAGGTCCTTCAATTGCTTCCAACGGGAACTTGAACAGAAGCAAGAAACGCTTGTCCCGTAGATGTTCCTATTTGATTGTATCCATTGTTCTACTACGTTGTCTTGTTCCTTCTGCCACCAGTTCACCAAATTGCCCACACTTTGCTAGAAAGTCTTTTCTTGATTTTAGAGACTGCTTGTTCACGTCTACAAAGGGGTTCTGCCTGTTGAATGTTTTTGCACTGCTGAACTTGTTTTCTACCATCTTTTCAGTGTGGCCATTTCTGGATAATTTCTGGACTGATAAGATGGAGAAAAAGAAAGAGGTAATACAATACCCAAATATCAATCTGAATCGACATGAATCCGACAATGAACAAGATTCTGAAGTGATAATAGGGGAAGGTTATATTGAAGAAGAAATTCCTTCTTGAATTTCATCAATTTGTTGGCAATGGTCTGCTCCGGGCCTTGATTATGATCAATCTTGTCCTCCTTTCTAATATAGTGTTTCTACTGAATCCTCCACATCCATTGTAGTTTTGGATATATAACATTCATATAGTTGTTCCCATTTGCTGTATTTCCAAAGGAGATCTCTCTGGTTCTTCAGATGCTTTCATCAATACTTTCGCAGATCCACAAAAATCTGTTACTTTCAACTCTAATTCTACGAACAAAGAATTCCTTCTTTGCATCCATTCAAACCACGTGGATTGACATTCTCTTTTTTCCCCAATGATTTCTTATGACTTTTCCCCAGCTGAGAAGAAGGCATTCTTTTCCATCTAAAATGGATTTCACACTAGTTTTAAATTGATGACACTCCACGTCGTCACAGCTGCTACTATATGATCAATTACATTTTGCCAATCTGGACTTAAAGATGACAAGTAAAAGTGTTGCTGCTGTGGGAGACATGTTAAGAAGAGAGAGGGTTTTGGGAAGAGGAAGGATCAGAGAAGAAAGGTTTGGTTGGAAATCACCAAAGCAGGATTAATCTGGCTGGAAATCCAGAGATAACTAAGAGTTTAAGATTAAATCTTTAGCTCCAATTGTCTGATTCTTGTATTTCTGAAGCTGTTCCAAGATTGCTCTCTTTAAATTGGGCGCCATTATACCTTTCTGATCGTATGATATCAAAAAGTGCCGGATCGTGTAATGAAAAACTTTTTCTTTTAGGAAGTTGTCACAATTGGGACAACTCTATTTATCAATCAATCAACTATGCCTCAACATGAATCATCTATAGTCATTCCGCGGGACAGCTGTGTTTATTTAAAAGAAACGTTTGCTTGTGGGACAACTCTAAATAGATAGTATATCCGTTAATTTTGAGTAGAGACATCATTTCCAATGTAAGTAATAGTTGGGATCGTGGTTTGGTAGATGAAGCTTGTGTTTTTTTCCCATTCCCATTCTTATGCGTTACTCACCAGTTTTTAAGAAGTTTGCATTTGGGTGATATTTTATTTGTATACTAAACACAAAAGAAGGACAAGATGGAAAACTTTTGGTTTTCTGATTCTCAGGCTTCTTGTAATATGGCAGATAACCGAGAAAGGATTCCTGAGGGACAACATGGGATGTCCTTTGATGACACTCACTTCCGACTCCAACCCTTGGTGGTCTGTTTTTAATGAAGCTGTTACTAGAGCTGGGGGAAAGCTCTCCAAGCCTGAAATATTAGCGTCGACAACTGATGCTCGATTCATGAGACGACTGGGAATTCCCACCTTTGGTTTCTCCCCTATGAAGAACACCCCCATATTACTGCATGACCACAATGAGGTTTGTCGCTGCTTCTATTTATGACAAGTCAATAAACACTTGTTTCTCTGATGCCAATCATTTGTTGTCCTGGCAGTTCCTCAAGGATACTGTTTACTTGGAGGGGATTAAGGTCTATGAATCCATAATAAAGTCATTAAGCTCCTTTGAGGGATCTTATGAACACCGGTGTAATGCAGTTTCTCAACAATGAAGTTTTTGAAAACTTGGTATGGTATTCATCTCTTTGTTTGATTATTTGGTATGATATTCATCTCTTTCGAATATTGTTTAATTTCAAGGTATGCAAGTTCTAATTCTGCACATGCTATAAACATAAGTCTAGGTCTTTTAGATACAAATCTTAATTTGTTAACTTCTCGTATAGTTTCTTCATCGAAGGGGAGCCTTGGAGCAACGGTAAAGTTGTTGCCGTGTGACCTATAGGTCACATGTTCAAGCCATGGAAGAAGCCACTAATGCTTGCATTAGGGTAGGTTGTTTACATCATATATCCTTGGGTGCGGCCCTTCCTCGGACCGTGTGAACGCGGGATGCCTTGTGCACCGTGCTGCCCCCCCCCCCGTCCCTTACCTTTACGTTACTCTCTACTCTT